AAAGATTTGTTGTTGTTGTTGAAAAATAAAATGCTAACAGTAATTCAAGTAATCAATTTTCCTTTATAATTAGCGCAAGATGTTAAAAAATGGATATTTTCTAATTTTTTTGTAATAAATAATTTTCTGTTTCATATATATATTTAAAAATTAAGAAATATGAAAAAAAATTTGAAAAAAGATAGAAACAAATTATTAAAAAAAACTCCACCCATGCAGGATGGAACAGTAACTAACAGCACGACAAGCGAGAACGCTGCTACATACACTAGGACGCCATTTGATAAACAGTCGCCTTTAAGATGATATAAACATATATACAAGAAAAATCAAAACTTTAAAAACTTTTTCTCAAAATTGGCTTCGCGTTAGGATGAAATACTTTACCACAATAACACTCTACTTGTATACTACTAATATACCAAAGCTCGTTAAAATCCGTGAGGGCACAACCGTAAGGTCTCCTTGTAAGACTAATTGTAAGACTAATGTCTAAGAAATAGGGAGGAGATTTCCCGGTATATCGTGTAATGGTAAAATAATGTTCTAGAAATTATAAGCGTGGCGGGACGTCACAATAAATTCCAATAATGAAGAAATTGGCTGATCTTTTTTATGGTCCAACAGCAAAATTCAATAAAAGATAAAAAATCGTTAAATTTCTACTATTTAAGTTTACTTTTCGTGTAGAATTTACTGCTTTTTCGACGAAAAACGATCATTTTCTTCCTAAAATAGAAACTTTATATAGGCTAATAGTTAACTTAATAATAAATCTTTTTTTCGCAGTCTAAGATAATTTCTGAGAAAATTATTGTTCATGCACTTTCTTATATAGTTTAACAGGTAGCAAAGGAAAAATCCACCTAAAAAATCTTATTTACCCCCTTCTTTCTTATTTATTTTAATGTTTTTGTTAGCAGGATAAACTATGAAGATGATGCAATATTCAAAAGGACTGTAATAAGTTATGGTAAACGATACCATAAAATAATTATTTCTAACAGGAAATGAAGTATTTTAATCCGTTTATTGTTTTCCACGAAGCATTATACATGTATTATAGGTTTTTTTAATACATTTTCTTTTTTACAGATATGCACCATAAATTATGTACATTTATTTTTATTTTACTTTATTTTGGTAGATTGGAAAATTATTAAACATAAAATATACGTAATTTGTTATCTCCGTTAATGCATATATTGAAATTATGCTATGTTGTGTTATTTTTCAGAAAAAATCATCGTTGGTACTTAAATTCTACCCGGATGTATTCCTTGTTTTTATTTCTGGTCATTTTGTAATCACACTTCTCTCTTTTTTATGGATAATAATTGTAAGATTTTTGGTGAAACTCTTAGGGTGGGGTCTAAGAGTTAGGTTTCTTAAAAAACATTCTCGGTTAGATCATTTTCTTTGGTTTCAATTTAATTCGAATGTGGACATCTTCAGAATGCACATCCCGGGTCTTCAGAAGCGGTTACCTCCTCGTGGTCAGACCTGGGCAATGGTATTTTACTTTCAGTATAATGTTTAACATATTTTATATGTTATACATTCCATTGCAAGTAAAATCTAGCCAAAGACCGTTTACCATAAACATTATAAAGGTAATTAGTTTCTTTTAACTTCCTAATTAATACCATATTCTTTTACACCTTTCCTTGGTTCCTTTTATCCATTTCATATACAGAAACTAATTACTTTATAATGTTTTTAATATCTTTTTATATTTTTACTAATACTACACAGAACACACAATAAAGAATTGTTAAAATTTTGTGTTCATTTTACTTCATTTCACTTTGTTTCAGAGGAAGATTAATTCTAATACTAAATTTGTATTAATTATTCTGCTGTGACGCGAATAAATAAGAGGATTACGTTGGACAGAAAGATTGAAACTTTATATGATGCAGATAGATTTGTATAACATTATATTTATTAAGTATTGTTTATTTTTAAATAGTTCTTCACGCTTGTGTTTTATATAGTAAGAATATTAATTTATTATTTAAATTGTTTTTCTATCTAATTGATTAAGGATCAAAGACTTAACAATAGAGACTATGGAAGTCGGTGTTACGTTATAGTCAACATGTAACGTCAAGGCTAAAAAATATACCTTACTATTAGATACTCTTGTTGAAAATAATAATATTGATGTTTAATATCACATATCACTGCGTGCATTTACGATTATTAGGATATTGCGCGAGCAATCTTTTAACGACCCGTTGGTAAAGTTTTGCATTTCTTTTTTCATGAAGTCTCAAAAATTCCTGTCTCGCTACACTGACACTCTTTGGTTTACGCTTAATTCCTGGTGTATGTACTAAGAAGGCACCGTCGAGTACGACTAAACGATAATTTAATAGACACATCTCGAACATCTGTAAGAAAGTTTATCATATATTTATCTCTGTTGTTTACTCTGTTTTGGCAATTATCTAAAATACCTGAGCCATTTTATCTTGTTTTCCTTCCCAAGACATATTTTCCGTATAAAGGGGATCTTCTCGCATCCCTATGAAGACAGGCTCCCATCTATGATGCGGATATTCTCTGCGAGTAATAATAAGAGGTTTGACTTTTCCTGGGTCTGTCCTTATCATCCATCTGGTTAAGCCCGGAAATCTTTGGCAATGCGGGCACAGGAATCTAATGTAAATGATACTGTTGTAACATACATAATTATGTATGATAGAAATACGAGTATATGATTGTTTAGTTTCTTTTTGACAATTGGATACGACGCGATATATAATTGTTTCATATTGTACTCTATTGTTCTCTATTCGCTTTTACCTATACCTATGAAAGTAAACAGCCAGGCCAGCTTTAGCTGCAGACAGGAGTTCTCTTTTATTCGATGGGGGCTGCTCATTCTTATCGATTTCGAATACAGGTAGAACAAAGACGACGCCAAGTTTAGGCGGCCTACCATGGACCATAGCTACAAATCCAGAGGCTAATCTCTCGCTGGGTAACAGTTCAATGTCGGATACGAGGACGCGCACAGTACTAGCCGAGGTTCTAGCCACGTTCCTGGCTACGTTAATAGGATACGTCATACCGCTCTTCCATCTTTCGGTCTCCGTTCCTCGCCATTGTAGATCCGAGGCGGTACAATCATCTTTTTCTTTATAAGCTCGACCAAGCGCGGGTACTCTTCCCGCGGGAAATACTAAATGGACGGATACCTATTGAGGAATGAGATTGAAAAATAGTCAATTATTATTCGCTCTAGAGCTGAGCAATGGCCGCAGCTGGGCTTAAAGTTGCATGCTAATTGACACCACCTGCGCGTGCATTCGTTCGGGTTGCGTCTGATTAGATTGTTAAAGCACGATTCGATTGGTATCGAGATAGATCATGTAGCATCGCGACATTTAGACAGTTAGACATTTCTAACGAAGGAAAGTGCCACACGTCGATACTATTTGTCGATACTATTTGTCGATACTATTTGTCGATAATTGCTTCTACTTTGGGAGTATAATCTATGGGAGTCGTGCTTGTGGTAACTAGAGATAAGGAGATGATCGGAGGCGTAAAAATGGAAAAATGGGAAACTAGGTAACAAGGCGGATAGGCAGGACCAAAGGAAACCTTGGACATGGCTGTTTCACATCGACAAGCACGATCGAGCAGAGCGACGGCCAGGCCGGCGTCGAGGCCGGGCGCGAAAACGGCCAGGCTCAATGGTCCCTCCCACCTGCGGGCGAGTTCGACGATGCCGTAAACTTGATCGGCCGTCGCGTGAGTGCATAGAGTTATCGGCGGTGCATCCTCTCGGTCTCCTCGGTCTCTGCCACGTATAGCAAACGGAAGTACTCTATATGGGCTTTTCTCTCCGATCTCCGGTGTCCAGTTTATCTGCGAGGAAGGATATGAGAGGGAACGCGGTAAGCCGTAATACCAGATGCAAGAACTTTCATTTCCAGATGACCGACGACCGGCCATGTAAGCACCAGCGATATACGCGGACGTTCCACCCGGCAATACATCCTCTCCTCGATAACTCAACGATTGCACTCGACTTTTCTTTATTGCGTACGATCGTTCCTTTGAGTTCTCGATCGACAATAAATGAAGACGATAACCGCGATCGAGCAATAATCGACAAACAAAAAGTAAGAAGAACGCTAGAGTAAACCACACGATAATCGATCTTCGCGGAGGACCGCGCATGACTTTCTCTAATCTCACGATCAGAGAGATCGCGATAAAGAACGCAACATCCTATATTACGAAAAAGATGTGTCCATCGAGGCTCCGTTGCGTTCACTGCTACGCCAGATGTAAGGGCCGGAAAGTCATTCTTACGGATCGATTTGCTTGGCGCAGTCGTATTATTCACTGCCGTCGTTGCCGCCGCCGTCGCTGCAGCAGACTTATTTTCAACAAGGTTCATCGGACGATTGTAACTCCCTATCTTAATCTTTCAACTCATTTTGATTTATTTTTTTCCATTAACTTAAGCTTACTACTACTACGTTACGAACTTACTTATTTCTTTGTCCAAGCTGCTTAATTTAACTAACAATAAGATTAACGATAGCCGTTAAAACTGTGCGACGATTCGCGATCTAATTTTAGTGGGCCAACGGGTGGGAGAATCGTCGTGTTACCAACCCCCTTTCACGGGCGCTCAATGCTACGCGGCAAATACACAGAATACATAGAAAAATACACATTCTATTGACTATCAAATGAATAGTCAATTCAAAGGCAATAGTTATTAACGAATCGTTCGCTGTCACGAACGTAAGTTTCCCACGTTAGTTTTATTATTAGACATATTATATCAACTACCAGTCAAAAAGTTAGATTGTTCTATTTAAAAGAAGTTCACCAATGAACCTAAAGCGAGATTCCCTACGACGCGTTGCGTCGTTTATCTATTAGGGTTGCTTCAGCTAATAGAGGAAACATTATTCGCGCGCCAAGTTATTATCTAGAGTGTTATTAATACGATAGATCGAAATCGTTGAAATTCGGACCTGAGTTCTGTGAATCAAACGTAATCTCGTTGGAGAATAGAAGGAAGTCCGTTCGACAGGTGGTCGAAAAAGTTGGATCGCGTTAGCGACGGGCGCGTCTATCGCCTTTCATATTCTTTCTCGATGAACGTTCCCCTCTTCCCAATGCCACCGATCTTCGGTGGCGCCGCAACGTCCGTCAGTGATGTCTACGACGTCGCCGCCTCGTCTGACGTGGTAACGCACAGCAGCGAATTAGAACGACGACATGCAGCAACCGTCGCAGGCAATGCTCCCTCATATTTGGAATTTAGAAAAAGTCCCGTTGTTCGCGGGAAAGGATATCGTCGTGTCTCAAGAAACATTGTTCATCCGAAGAGAACAACAATTACGAAGAAGGCGCGCCGACGTTGCGTTACCACCGAATTTCGCCTAAAAATGACCGAACCTAGAGATAAGGATGAAGACGAAGAGGACAACGACGACGACGACGACGACGACGTTGTTATTTGCGCCGATAGTAAGTGTCGACTGATCGCTTTGATATTTTCGCCGTTTTCTTTTCCCATATATCCAAATAAAATACGATTCGAGGCCTACATTTACAATTGGTCGCTATTACGAGGAAGATTACATTCTCGCCTCGTAACTTCTTCGTCGCGTGCTACAAACTAAAACTTTTAAGGACAAATATGTTTGCTTTTTACACTTTCATTAAAAAAGAACATTTCTTTTAAATAATTTAGTCCGGATTCGTTCAAATTATTTTATTTCATAACGGCTTATGTAGTTATACGATCTCATAGTTTTCCTCCGTCTCCTACGTCGACAGAATCGATAATCATCGTGAAAACTATACTAGTATACTTGTATATATGCACGTATTTATGTATTACATATGTATGTATACGGGAACTTATCTCTTTAAAAATTGTTTCGAGCCAATCGTTATACGTCCTCGACACAAATATACACATGTATATATATATACACAAACATAGATGCATTCTTCGCTACGCTTCCGTTTGCAGTCTCGTGACAAATTTTCCAAGTTCAAAGTATAGATTTAATTTTTGTATCTGTGCACTCCAGTACACTGTGTTAAGGGGTTACATGGGTTTACTCAGGGAAAAAATAGCATATTTTCAACAATTTTTTGTTCTATATTAAAAATGGAATTCTTATTCAAACTTTTTATAGCATTTAAGATACATATTTAAAGAACATTTTCTAAAATTTTGGTTGAAAAATATTTTAAACTCAGCCATTGCGACGTCATTTCCGGTGACCCCACCGAAAAAAAGTGTTTTCGTGTTGACAGCAGAACTTATAAACGGTAAGGGGTTTTTCTGTTTAAAAAATAGGGTCTTTTAGTGAATACTTAAAACTAGAAACTGGACGAAGAAAAAAGAAAAAAATTAAAATTTGGATTTTTGGCAACGTTTTTAGCAAGATGGTTTCTTAAAATTCGATTTTATGAAAAAAACAAAAATCCTTCGTCCAAGTCCTTGTCAATAGTATCACGAAGACGTGTACCAAATTTCATCAAAATCGGTTAAATAGTTTTCGAGAAATCTTGACAACCGTCTTTAGAAAAAGCGTTTTGAGAAAAACGCGTTTAAAGATTTGAGTGCTGGTATAAGAGCCATTAAAGAGTGGAACTTTCCAAGGCTCTATCTTTAAAACTACTACTCCTATCGACTTCAAAATTCAATACAATATTCTAGATGAGTTGTAGAATTCAAAAAGATAAAAAAAAAAATTTTGTTTGAAAGTCGCAAACCCATGTAACCCCTTAAATTAAATTTTCAAACATTGAAATGCGATGAAAGATCGAACGTAGACTTTAACAAACTTAGGGCAGCTAGTAATGTTCGCGTAAATACTTTTCGATCGAAAGTTCTTCTATATACATATTAAGTACATGAACAACATCTTTTCTGTGAACACAGCTTCGACCATACCAAGGGAAATTTCGTCTTGGGTACAAAACAGCGTGCATCACGATAAAGCAACTAAATCTATAGCGTTACAAACGGCAGTAAGGGTACCTTTACGACTAAGATTCTTACCATCTCTCGAGGACATCATCGATGAAAATGATCCTGCATCTGCCAGTCCAAAATCTTCTGTCATTTGGAAACATTTAAGATTTTTAGGACGTCTGTTGCTCTCTCAATTCGGTAGGAACATCATTTGTTCCCCATTTTATTCGTCCGAATTTGACGGTAAACAATATCGACGTAAGGCATATGCATAACTATTGAATAATAATATTTTACAGAGAGTTGTTTTTCGCGTGTCGATCGTTTTAGGGGGCGTGAAGGGGGCGCGAAGGGGGCGCGAAGGGGGTGGGGAGAGTGGAGGAGGAGGTTAAGAAAATCAAAGATAAATGGAGAAATATTATTAACTCCATCTAGTAGTATACTTATAGTTCGCGCATTTTTACCTGATAGAAATAAAAATCATTTTTGTCAAGATAAGCGACAAGCGTTGATATCGTCTTCAGGACTCGTATGGTTGTTGAGCATATGGGCAATAGCCGGAGCTGCAGCCTTTTGCGCTACGGAAGGACCACGTGAACGTGAACAGGTTGTAGAATTAAAGGATATGCAGAAAGATCTTGCAGTTGGCTTAGCCACTGAATTGCGTCAACTACGTACGGAAAAAGAGGAAGACATGGAACCCCTATGGAGCGGCAAGGTGCGTCAATATGTTGCAAAACACGAGCAACTTCTTCTAGCAGCTGTAAACTCTGGGTACGGTGAAACCAACGACGGTGGTCAACTTTGGACCTTCCCCGGTTGCGTGCTCTTCGCTGTATCACTTCTCACCACTCTGGGTGAGCTGTCAGCTTCTTTTAAATCATGTCCAATGATCGTACCGGTGATCTTATCAAATGTTCACCTGACGACACAATGTAACATCTACGCTATTTATTTTTCATTACTCATTTGCAATTATGTATAAATACATGCTTCTAATTAATCCTCCTATCACCCAACAAATATCTCCCACGAAAGATAATAAGGACACGTAAGTAATATAAGGCTAATCTTTCATCTATTTTAAAAACTTATCGCTTTTAACTTGCTTGTTAAAAAGTTGTATATATACCATACACCGTTAAATACCATTTAAACAGATACGTAGAAACATCTAACTCGTCGTTTGAGGTATCGATTTTTTCATAGGTTTTGGGGCACCGGTTCCACGCACGAATGCTGGCCGTACCGCGGCCATCGTATTTGCAGCCATTGGTATCCCAGTGCATTTTCTCTTAATCATGAACGTCGGTATTTTACTAGCAGTCAGACTGCAAGAGTATGCAATTAGAAAAACATCCAATAAGGATTTACGAGATCCTATAGAAATTTCTTGTTCCCCACGACCAGTACCCAAGTGGGTCAAATTCGTCCCCTTTCTTTGTATCGGTAAGTGCACAATTAGAAACTTTTAAATTTATATTAGTAACAATATTTTTGATAGTACTTATCAATAAAATACTAACAGTACATGGTATACCTATATGTATAACGTATCTTACGTATAAAAGCGCCTTAAAGCGAATTTTTTTTTTTTCATATAACGAATGCACAGGGGGTTATTACATCCTCGGGGTTTTATGTTTCGGCATAGCCAGATCAAGACCATTGGCAGCGAGCGTCTTATTTCCTTTAGATTTCACAGCAGCCGGTGGACTTTCGACAACGTGCGGTTATGTGCGTGTCTTTTATGCGATATATTTGGAAGGTGCTGTCATTATAGCAGCAGTAGCTGTCGCCGTTCTTAGAGTATCGGCTACTCAGAGTTTGACCAATATCGGTCTAAGGTATGGTTTACTCACTGAAGCCTGATCAATAAAAAGAAAAAAAAAGAAAAGAACATTTTGACCGGTTTGGTTCGCGTATTGCAAACTAAGTATATCCTACGTGATTCTATAAGAATTCGTATGAAATCTCTTTTCCCCGAGAACCGAATGACGGCTATGTATGAGACTCGCACACGATAATTCGTTGATCTTTGATTTATCGACAAACAAACATATTGAATTAACTTTTACAAGTTTTATTAAATCTTCTTTTTTATATCATTATTTTCGAGAAGAAGTGCATATTGTTCAAAAATGTTTTCTACTAACTTCCTAGAAGAAATTTTTCATTGATTTTAAAAACAAACTTATAATCAAAGCCACGCGCTCATCAACCTTATAAATACTTTCATATCGTAAATTTTGATTTAGACCGATATTAATTAATGGTAAGACAAACTAAAATTACATACATTTTAATTTTTTATATAAAATTATACGATCGCGTTAAAAAAAAAAAAGAAAAACAGTACAAAATAAGAGATTATATTAAAATTATTAGTACATATTTTTTGTACAGTTTCTATTGCACAAATTCGTGTAATAATAAAGTAATATTGAAATTCAATGAATGTAATTTCGTCTTTGCCACTAAACCCAGAAAATCACTAGTTTCTACGTAAATTTAATATATTTCCAAATAAATATGATATTATAATACTTCTATTCTATGTGATATATAAATAAATTATACTCAAGAGAGATCCGTTTATGTGCAACAAGTATTTCAGTGAAAGGATATTAATCAGGGAGATTCGAAAAGGAAGAATAAATTAATTTCAGGTGACCCAATCGCACGGTCATTTTTACGTGACACTAACTTTTCATATTTATTTACCAGTAATACACGTACATCCTGTGTGAAACAGCTAATTAATCTTGTTAATGATTTTCAAGATGCGCATTGCATTGTTATATTACATAATCAAATGAAAATTATTTTGATGAAATGTAATGAGGAATTCCAAATATATTTAATCTGACAAACGTAACATTAATGTGAAACGTGCGATGTTATATAATCTGCATGTCAGTGTAATATCAGATCCTCCTTAATTATATACAAGATTATTGAATTTAGTCATTCTTTGTCGCATTCGTTACGATGCAAATATAGACAGTGTATTTAGTCAACAATTTTTTTATTTATTGCTAACATTTTTATAAGAAACTTATCACCTTATATAGTACTACCATTACGAGCCTCTTGTTTCCTTATATCATTACTATTTTTTTTTGTCCTATCGTTATTTTCAATATTAATATCTGAATCAATATTGGCAGACACATTATCTCCTTGCGCTTTATCACCCGGATGCTGAAGTATAGAAGATGAAGATTTATTGTTGCAAATCGATTCGTCTCCTAGGGCCACTCGTATGGAGCCTACCAAATTTAATGGCCCTACAAAGGATTGTTTGGTTCCTGCAGGAAAAAAAACACGCACAGATACATTATATTAATTATTGTGATAGAAGAAACTTGACGTTTATAAAGTTATGATGCGAAAAAAAGTGCAATTTCCAGTATAATTAGTAGGGATTATTTTTTCTATCGCAGAGTTACTACGTGAGATAAAGACGAGAGAAAGACGACAAAGAACGCTATCTATATAACCAAGTCGACATTTTAAACATATATTTTCTACATATCATATTGTATTTTCTTTGAAAATAATTACCTATTAAATTGCGCAATTGCCTACATTATTAGAAATGCAAATAAAACCTTATTTCTCAATTAAACGATGTACAATGCTCCAGGATATTTATTTCCGACACAATTAACTTACCTACAATGATTTTATCCAAAAATAGCTTTTTTAATTTTGTTAAGTAGGCCATTACTTTGAACATTTTCTACATCCTGCGACGCTTGAGTTTGCTTCTTTCGGCGTGCAGAGCCTAGAGAAGAAATGGTTTTAAATGGAGACTACGATTGTTTTTATGCCAAAGTAACATTTCTAATAAAATAATTTCTATTCAATTATTATATCTCTCTCTATATACGCATACTTTTATATGCGTATATTTGATCTCAATATTTATAAAGAAAAAGAGAATAATTAGAATTATAAACCACAAACCTCAATGAAACGCACGTGTCATATTTACTATACAATTTATTTGGTTAGCAAAAACAGATACAAGTAAAAAGAAAACTCAAGCGATGCACAGGTCTGACTGGTTCCTATGTAACATTCTAACATTTTATAGTTAGAATATTTGAGCCATAAGTGAGAGATCAATAAGCATAATGATAACTACTATTCGGAAGAGAATTATTTCACAAATACAATGTAATTATGATTGAAATATGAAGTAGACGAAAACGCTCGGAAAATAAAGAATTCAATTTAGTCGCTTAATCATTAGGATATCAAGATTTTTTATATTTATCCTTACCATCTGTTTTGTAAGTTATTCCATATATACTGCCAGGTGTGTCAGATTCAAGTTCGGCGTATGCTTGAAGTAAAGCTCTCTGTTTCTCAGTCAATTTTGCGGGCACGGTTATCTTAATATTTACGTAATGATCACCGTAACCATATCCATTTACTTTCCTCAAACCTTTGCTCGTCAAACGTATTTTAGTGTGCGAGCTGGTACCCGGACGAATCTGTACTGTCTGATCTTCATAGACACCTTCTATCCTTATTGTACCACCCAATACAGCTTGCGACAATGATATTTCTGCGTCAGTATGTACATCGGATCCATCTCTGCGAAAGTATTTGGACTTTTCCACGCGGAATGTTATAAATACTTCTTTATTATCAATAGCCAAGCGTACTGTTTGACCATCCTCTACTCCAGCCGGTACTGGTACAGTTACTTTTTTTCGTTGCACCTTTTGCAAAAGATTATACGATCTTTTATTAACGCAATCAATTATAATTGAAATTCTATAAAAATGCAATAAATTTAAATGATAGGTATACAATACCGTTTTTCCTTTCCCTTCACATTCGGAGCAAGGATATTTTATATATATTCTAGTACCATTACAATAACGACAAGTTGAGCGCATTACAAAAGGTCCTGTGCTAATAGTTTCCATTCCAGTACCTTTACATTGTTCACACCTGACAGCCCTCGTTCCAGGCTCACAACGAGAACCAACACATTTTGGACATGTATCCACTACGTTTAATTCAACATCTTTATTTACACCTCTGGCAGCTTGCGAGAATGTAAGATCCATTATTACCTATATGTCAAAAGAGATGTTATTTTGAAATGAATTCGTTGCAGATTAAAAATATAAGAAATACAAAATACCTCTTTTGATGCTGCAAAACCATATTTTGATTCTGCAAAATCTTCGAAATCACCAAACACGCCACTTTTAAAGCCAGCATCTCCAAAAATTTTTTTAAATAATTCTTCTGGATCAAGTGTAGACCTAAATTGCCACTGTTGTTGGAAGTCATTAGCACTTTGTCTACTTCCTTGACCCATTCCCATCTGCTCCGAGGTTGTACCCCAAGTATCATATTCTTTTCTTTTCGCATCGTCGCTTAATACTTCATAAGCTTCAGAAACTTCTTGAAATTTTTTACCCGAATCTGGATCACCCTTGTTAGTATCGGGATGATATTTTTTTGCGAGCTGGTAGTAAGCTTTTTTTATATCTTTTGCAGAAGCATTCCTGGATACTCCCAAAATTTCATAATAATCACGTTTTAAAACCTTTTGCGTCGTATGAATAATTCTACACTGCTGTACAAAATTTTCTATAATTCCTGAAAATTTGTGAAATATATAGTGAAACAAATATTTAAGATTCGAATATGTTAAATAAATCTTTTATTAGTACTTATTAAAATTGAATATTTTGTATTATGTATATATATACAGAATCGACAAGTTATATTTGAGAAAGTAAAAAATGATGTAATCTAGATTCTTCGTAATGTGAATAGTATACGTTATACGTTACGTTTTCCCATTTTCTTCTTATTCCAAGCACCGACATCCATCGCCAAAGTTGCAGCAGATCGCTGACATCCGTTGCATTGTTGTAAGACATTGCATGATAATTTATGAAGTTTATTACAACTAATTAAACTGATATTTTTTGGCCTAAAAATTATCGCAAGTCCTTTGCCGGTCGCCATGTTGCATAAAAGACGCATGGCTCCTTTTTCATATCACACAAATACAGTAAGCATACATAAATAACTGCTTTGATTTCTCTTTGAATCAACGGCGTTGATATTATTCAATTGATAAGAGACATAAATATAATATTTATATATTAGGAAGGTTTTTCGAAGAGAAAATAAATATAATAATTTTTTTTCTTCACTGTGGTCGGTATATTATTGTTTATCCTATCACGTGTGCTTACAATGCAAAGGATAGACTGAAAATGCTTCAGTGCAATTCTTGCTTTGCTTGGATCGACTTCATGCACGCCATCTCGAATTCCCTAAATTGTGTGCTGTTATTAAAATGCAGAGGTGCCACTACACTTTTATTTATAAAAATATATTTAAATATGTGGGATTAAAGATATGCGATACAAGATCTTATCATTTTATTATAAATACTCGTCTCTTCAGTTGTTGCACCTATCTAGGGCTAAAGTCCCTATGACACGTTATCAATAAACGTGAGTCGTGATGTCGGTAAATGGTCGATAAGTGGAATTTGACGTCACGACGCGACATCTACCGCTAAAAATTATAATGCTTTTTATAAATATATTTTTATATTTTCTCTTCTAAATCTCTCTCTAATCGCGCTCTCTGTTATCGCGCATTAATTGTATTGGAAAAATGATAGAAAACAATAGAAAAGAAATAAAAAAAACTCCTCTATCTAGGAGCTCAAGATCTATGATTTTCGTGCATATGTTCGCGCATTGATGATCGTAATTCACACGTGACACGGACAAAGTTCAAATCTGGGAGCATCAGGAGATATACTATGATAACGTGATTGAAATTCGGTGATGAATTCGATTATGGAAATTAATAGTTTACTGCTCGTATTCTAATGTCAAACTCGATTAAAATATATTCCAGTCTTTTTTGATTTGTGCATATCGTCTGAACGATGGAACAATGAAAACAAGTGTATTGCTGTACCCTAGGAGTTTCATATTCCTTTCGTTCTTTTGCATAAGTTATGAATCACCAGGTATAATAAAGTAGGGATAAAATAAAACATTTTTCACACATTATATGTACACATTCTATAATAAGAACATTGACATCGATATCTCGATATATTGTTTGAATCTAATTCGAAACATTCCGTATTTACTGCATTCAAATCGATGATATTGCTTAGAGTAAATTGTTTACAAATAATGTCACCATATGAATATTTGTGACAATAAAGTAATAGAAATGATATATCAATATGTACATTAAACGCACGAAAATACTGTGATAACGAAGCTGAAAAGCTCAAAGGGCAGTTACATGGTGAGTGAACGTTACTTACGAAATAGGTTATTCTAAAATTCCTGAGGAACGTTTTTGAACAGGCAACGTCTACCCAAAAAAGTAATATTTATTATACGTAACGCTGTATAATAATTTCTTAAACTTAATCAATTCGTTTTATTGTTTAGATCAATCTATTGTTATTAATAATAGGTAGTTTTTTTTTTTATTAAATCATCATGTAACCGAATGCATGATGCATGTTACATTGCGCCTTATTTATTTATACTTTCTCCCTCTCTTTCTCTGTCGATTATATAGAATAACAGATTGTTATTTTCTTAGAAGACAACTCTTAGAAGACAACTCTTAAAAGACATTAAATGTGGTAAATGATGTCTACGAAGAATGTAGTCGATTGGACAACCAATAATGTTAGTGTTTGGCTCGCTGAAAATGGACATTCACATTTTATATTATTATTTAAGAAGCACGACATAGATGGAAAGGTACTTCTAACTTTGAAAGAAGAAGATATAAAATCCGAAGCGATACAATCAAATAAAACAATAGGAGACTTAAAAAGATTGTATATCAGTATTAAACAATTGCAAAGAGACAATGTTGCAATGCTTTTTGAATTGGGATGCGTTGATTTGTTTACAACGCCACATTTTTATGGTCATCACAAACACGAAGTCAGTATTTACTGGAATTAGTATTTGTCTTAGAGATATTTTCAAATGAATGAATTATTTAACATATTATGCTTAATCACCACAGATGCCTAGCGTTGGTACAAATAATGAAGGTTCTATAGAGAATGAATTTTATTCTGCTTCGGTATCAGAAGATGGACACGCGTCTCATTTGCCTCCTGAAATATGGAAAGCGTTTATCAGCTTGGCATATTTATTTATCGTTACTTGGATTACTGCCTTTGTAATGGTAATAGTGCACGATCGAGTGCCAGATATGAAAAAGTATCCACCTTTACCGGATATATTTTTGGATAACGTTCCTCATATTCCATGGGCATTTGATATGTGTGAAGTTACTGGCACTATACTTTTTGCTATTTGGCTTATTGTTCTTATTTTTCACAAGTATAGGTAAAAATATAAGGCATACAAATTTTCCATTATATAGATCTATCTGTGTTTGATAGAAACGCTTTTCTCATGATTACCTCATCAATTTTTTCTGTATATCCCTCCATAGATTTATCTTATTACGAAGATTTTTCGCCCTCTCTGGTACAGTCTTCTTATTGCGATGCGTTACAATGCTCATCACATCTCTTTCTGTGCCTGGAGCACATTTACAATGCCAACCAAGAAAGGTGCCAGACGAAGATTGGACTAGGTGTGAACTATTATGATAAAGCGTAGCATAAATTTATTATTAAAGTAGATGTTAGCGCAGTCTTTATTAATGTATTTCAATAACATTGTTTATCTAGTTCTGCATACGTGGAGTTATATAACAAGATTGCAATGGCTTATGTTATCTGGCGTGGTGCTGGTATGTCTATACAAGGTGTTAGAACTTGTGGAGATTACATGTTCAGTGGCCATACAGTCGCATTAACTATGCTGAATTTTTTTATCACTGAATGTGAGTATGAATCCGAGTATGTAGAGTAAAATTAGTTTTACTTTTTCTTTCTTTTTCTTTTTTTAAATCTTCAAGCGGAAAAACTGGAGCACTTAAGAAATTGGCTTTTTTCATTTCCAGATACTCCAAGACAGCTCTACTTTCTTCACACCTTTACGTGGATGCTTAATATGTTTGGTATATTTTTTATCTTAGCTGCCCATGAACATTATTCCATCGATGTGTTTGTAGCATTTTATATAACTTCGCGATTATTTTTATATTATCATACTTTGGCGAATAATCAAGCATTGATGCAACGTGATTCGAATAGAACTAGAATTTGGTTTCCACTTTTTAGTTTCTTCGAATCGTCCGTCGATGGAATCGTTCCAAACGAATATGAGTCTCCATCGTTAATTGTTTATAATTTAGTTTGTAGAGGGAAAGATATTTGCAACTCTATACGATCGTTTATCTATTTTCGAAAGCCGCGGAGTAACGTAAATGGTAACATAAACAATATGAAAAAGGAACGCTAATAAAAAAAATATATATAAATATATATATTTTAATGTGTGATTTAAAACTTGAATATTGTGTTAGGAGTTGTTGGTACGAATACACATGAAAATATTTCAATGAGCGGTGATATCCGTACTCTTGATAAAATTAAACACTGGAAGATGATCATTTAACAAAAAATCGATATTATGAATGCATTGATTTTTCATTCTTGAATATTTTTAGAGTTTCTTAATCTAATCGTATTTAAAAAATATTCCTTCCAAAATATTACACGTACTCCCGTTTTCTTTTTTTTTTGTTTACCGTTGATTGTTACCTTATACTATTTTTGCATTAATATTTATTATCATTATTATCTACATTGAATTATGCTCTTTATTTAGTAATTTTACATTTATTGTTCAAATAGGAGTAAAACTTTGAGAAATAATGCTTCATTTTAGAAGCTCATAATTCTATGAAATATTGTAAATATTAAAGTAGGAGTTGCACAATTTTGTTAATTAATTTTATTAACAATTCTTCCATTGTGTAAGTTTTTACCAATGAAAGCCTAAAATAATATAACAGGGCGACTAGTTATCTATTCGTTTCATTATATTATATTTAAAAAAAACTAATAATAAAACTCACGTGCACTTGTTTTCTTATATATGTGCAATGTTATAATAATGTTTGAACATTATGTTTTTTAAAAATGCATTAACATTATGACACTTATACTGTATTAGTATGAAATGCGAAGGAGAAAAATTACAGCATTGTATATATATATAGTACCGACACTAAAGTAGAGTTTATATAGACTGTTTTATACAAAAAGATATAGAAAAAAATTGTGTGATATAATAAGAATTCTACATATTTCTATTCTACTGTAAATCGTATCAAGTTTTAATTGTTGGTCGTCATATAATTGATTAATTATTATCAATTATAGGACATATAGGATATAAAGGTACAACTAGTTGTAAAGATGTGATTTTTTTGCAACAGAAGAATAAGTAAATCGAACGGCACTGCTTTCGACCGTTGATTTGCGTTTATTAATAGATAAAAAGTAAGAAATTGAAAGCATATAATTTATAAGGATCGCATGGTTATATTTTTTTACGTTTGAAGAGAAAAAAAATGGAAACATTTGATTCTCTTATTAAAATAAATAAGTCTACGCGTGTTAAGTAATCGAAAAATTTTGTATCCCTTTCGGAGATTAATCGGAATAGCGTTCAATGGGCTATTTAATTTTGGCCTAATCGTAGCTTTTATATGATACCGATTTATTACGATATGCGCGCTACAGTTTGACCAATTTTATTAAAAAATCATGTGTACAAATGTTTTATCGCAAAGATACACGCAAGCACGCAGATTTGTACGTAAATTTGCAGTGTTGCAAATTAGTATGTACGCAGATTTGAATGTAGGGTTAATCAAAGAGGCTATTCGCGAACGAAAATAACGTTTTATATTTAAGTTTTTCTATTGAATCACGCACGAATCGAGGAACATGCGTGTGTGATTTTACACGGACATTATATAATTAAATACATATTTATTTAATATATCATTAATTAGGCATATATGTATGAATACGATTAAAACGATAGTAAATGGCGCATTACAAACAGTAGCGCGATTTTCGACGGATATAATATAACAATCTTTCATTTATTAAATATATTATTATTTTTGGTATATAAATATATATATCGATAAGAAGGACTGAAATATCTCATCGAACTTTATTTGAGCGCGCGCGCGCACACACACACACACTTACGTTAAATTTGTATAAATAAAAAATAGAAAATATGTACTTATATTTCGGTTTTTGAAGAAAATATTCTTGTATAAATATTCATAAAAATGAATAGGAATGTAAATATCAAAACGCATAGTATGTGCTTATAATGATGTTTTATAAGAGTCATAAAATAGCATTGATTTGTCAGAAATAAATAAGGAATAATGTATATAACTATGCATATATATATATATATATATATATATATATATGCACGCTTGCGAATCATAGTTTCGATATTTCTATAATTTTATGTTTACACATGAAATGTATATATATAGTTTTATAAATAATTTGAGTACATAGTTATAGTATTTAAGTAACATTTTCTTATTATTATTTTCATTATATTTTCACGATATTTTCACGATCAAGGGAGATAGATTTTATAACGTTGTCACCAATGTTGAAATAAAGACTTTTGAAGAATTTAGTCTTCGTCTTATTTCATCGGAATTAGAAATAGTAATTATTCAAAAAACCATCGATGGATGCTTCGTCGTTCTATATTACAATATATATATTTGAGTATTTTAAATAATTTACGTTCACGAGAGACAATATAACTACGATAGAGGTGGTAGTTTGTGATTAATTTTGTAGAAACAACTAAAATAGCGTATAGATCTATAATTAAACGTTGGAAGTGACGTAGCACGATGCTATTCACAGTGGCACTAGTTTGATGATTCTTACCGAGCATCTTGGTCCATACGTACAATATTTGGCGATAGCTGCGAACGAGAGCTTTATCGTCGGAGAAAAAGTGCAAGAACAAAGAAAGAGATTATTTTATATGAGAATATATATATTTACGAGGTAATATATATATTTACGAGGTAATATATATATATATATATATATATATAGTAACAAGGATAAATCTATCGGCCCTCTGTGTGTGTGTGTGTGTGCGTGCGTATGTGCGCGCGTGCGTGCGTGGTGCAAGAGCGAGCGAATTTATATACGTATATATAGACATATGTAAAAGATGAATTCAGTGAAATAGTTTTGAATGATTTTGAATTATCGGCAATCGAGTAATCCGATGAAAGGTATCTAAGTATAAGATTATTTAAAGGAAGATGCAGAAAAATGTGAAAGAGGGAGAATGTTCGGTATGCGGTAAAAATGCTAAGCTGAAATGCAGCGACTGCAGGCGCAGCTTTTATTGTAGCAAGGAACATCAAAAGGAAGACTGGCCACGACACAAATCTATTTGCCATGCATGGGAAATTAAGGAAAACGAAGAGGTAGGGAGATATTTAGTCGCAAGTAGAGATCTAACGATCGGTGAAGCGATCATTTCAGAAGGGCCACTCGTTTGGGGAGCCGCACCTCATACGCGTAATAGGGTGTGCATCGGTTGCGGCCTACATTGCGAGGATGTCGAAGCGAGATGTACCAAGTGCTTCTGGCCGTCCTGCTCTATTAACTGCCAGGCTCTCTTTGCTAAAGACGGCCACGAGTTGGAATGTGCCCTTCTTGCAAAAACCAGAATCTTTCCCAGGTGAACGGTTTGACGTTACTACTGTACTCTACTAGAAAGTAGAAATGTAGATATACCACGTACCATCAGTATATGTCATATATACATCGTATATGTACATCGTATATGTACATCCATTTATATCGCGGCCATTGTACATTATGTAGAATATATCTATTAATGTACCGTTAGTATCGACCGATCGATTTTCTATCTCATTTTTCATTGATCATCTTATTTCCATCGTAGATGCGACGTTTTGCTAGCTATAAGAATGCTCATACTTTGGAAGACTAAGTCGAAGCGTTGGAAATTATTGGAAAAGCTACAGAGTCACGAAAATGCTCGCGGTCCTGGAACCGAGGCATACGAAGAGGTACAAGAGGTAAAAAAGCATCTTGGACCACTTATCGCGGTCGATCCTTCCTGCGCTAAGATTTTGCCGAAAATTTGTGGACTGATCGATGTGAACGCGCTCGAAACTGTACCACCGGATGGTTCCGTCGCTATTTATCGTACAGCTTGCCTTTTGGAGCATCGTTGCTTAGCAAATACACGACACTCGTTTGCTTTGGACGAGAAAGGTAGACCGATCATTACTGTCCTGGCTGTTACCTCGATCAAAAAGTAGGTATTATAAATGCGTTAATGAAAGCAGAGTTAATGAAATATTTTAACAGACATGACATTTTAAAGGGGCGAACATTTGAGTACGAACTATACTCACGCACTTTGGTCAACCAGAGCGAGGAGGCAACATTTGCTCGCGACCAAATATTTCTCTTGCTCGTGCGAACGATGCGCTGATCCAACGGAATTAGGAACGCATCTCGGTACTCTGAGATGCCCTTACAACGACGCTGGACTCGTTCTTCCGATAGATCCGTTGAACTTTGAAACGGAATGGTCCTGCAATAAGTGTCAAGGTACTCTTCGGGCCTCGGAAGTCACTGAGTTAACGGACAGACTCGAGGAAGAAGTCGAAGAGGCAATGAGATCTCCAAACAAGGCTGCGTTTTCCGATCTTCTTTCTCGGTAAGCGATGCTTCCTGCTTGACACGATTCTACTTTTTCTCCTTTTTCTCCTTTTTCTACTTTTTCTACTTTTTTCTACTTTTAATTCTAATCTTCGTATGCTCGTTATATTATCTATATTCATTCATTCCTTTTAGACTTCGCGCTCTTCTACATCCAGGCCATCAGCACTGTATATCTCTTGGACATTCTTTGATACAATTATTACCGTCTAGAGATCCACTAAAACTCGAGCTTTGCAAGCTTATAATGAATACCGTCGCCGCGATAGATCCGTATTACGCGCGATTGACGCTTTATGCCGCCATTACTTTGCGAGAACTCGCTTATTGTCCAGGACAAGACAAGAAGGCACATTTGTCGAAAGCTGCAACTTTATTGATGTCAGAGCCCCCAAAGAGCCCAGGCGCTAAATTATTGCGACTGATAAATTCTGAATTGGAATATGCTTGATGAGTGAATAGACTTTTTGTGCATCTATGTGTAACTATGTATGATTTTATGTTTTATTTGACGTATAATTTGACGTATAATTTTACGGCCTAATCCTATGTAATTTTATAGGCTTAAAGCAAAGTGAATTTGTCCAAAAAATACGAATTAATAGGAATTTTATTGAATGCTATTTTTATCCAGTATATTTTATTATACGTATATATTTACATACGTATTATAGAATCGATAAAAATGAATTTTATGATATTTCATTGAGCACCGTGTGATAGGTGAATGAAAGCGTAAGAACGATTTAATCGTTAGATAAATCTGGCAAGTACACTTGCGTTAACGACTGCGTTACGGATGCAACAGACAGGTACGTTTCGTGCGTACGCCTAAAAGAGGATAAGACAAGGATCGACCTTTGAGCTGAGCCGTGATTTGCAAAAGATACGCCTTTCCTGGTTGGAGTTTCTTTATGGTAAACGGTAGAGCTCTGTCCTTTGGCGTGGTCTTCCTTTCTTCGCAGACCTCGAACGTATATTCGGATCGACGACGACGATGGAGACCGCACTGATCGGGTACGTTAGTAACGCTGCTCAAACTCGAGGAATCTTTCAATTCTCTTACGAGAATGCAATATTTCGCGGCACCGGCAGACTCTACTCCGATTGTCACCTCGTCGCAGTTTCTCAAAGAGCGATATTCGCGTGGCGTGCTTCTCGACGGTACCTAACGAAATAATGTGTATTTCAATGTATATATTTCAATGTATATTTCAATGTGTATTTCAATGTGTATTTCAATTTGTATTTCAATTTGTATTTCAATTCGTATTTCATTGAAGGATATATCCTTAGTAGAAGGAAGAGGTACAAGTACCTGCGGATAAATCATCGAAGACTCCTGCGTAACGAGCACTTTGATTGCCGAGACCCGTGCTAATTCTTGCGGTGTAGCAGATATGCGCAGAATATAAGCTTTCCCCGAGGGTAGTAAAGGTACTCGGAGAAATGCATATCCCACAACTTCCTTTTCCTACAAATCGCCAAATAGAGAAAGACTAAAGTTGCATCGATAGAATGTCGCTTTTGTAATAAGAATTACCCGCAGTATTCCTGGAGCGCTTAATTTGGCCTTGACTATGCCACCGCCGCAAGGAAGAATGTGGAAGATACTAGATGCGTTCTCCGGTGGGCGATAACGGAAATTGACGAAACCATCGGTTTTTCTCAAATTGACCGTAGCGTAACGTCCCGTGTGTAACATTAACTCGGGCGTCTTTCGAAATCTTATGGCATCGGTGGCAAGTTTGTTCGAAACGTTATTACGCATGTTAACCTGCAACAAAAAGTATAGTATAGTAATATCGTAATTGTTGGCGGCCGTTAGGACGTTCGTCGCGTTCACCGCGTTTATTTTAACCAACCACGTATAGAGTAAAGTTGTACGTAGTGTCGAACTTCATTCTGTGAAGAGTTAATTTAGTTTGTCGTACGCAATGAAGCCCTTCCGGGATACCCCGATATTGATGCTCCTTGTTGCTTGAGGAGCTTGCCTTGCCAACGGCGTGCGACGAGTGAACGACAAGAAAGTTTTGTGCGGCGCAAAGAGTCGAAGGATGGGCTTCGGTTCCCGACGTAACGGCCAAACAATAGTTGGATAGGTGCGGATCTACGTGGCTAGATGGGCAAATCAAGAGCAAGGAAATAAAATCGACGATCAAACGAAAATGATCAAAGTTATCCTACCTTTTGTTCCAAGATATGGTTAAACGACGTTTGCTTCTTCTCTGTTGAAATCTTAAGGAACGTTGACGATTATCTTTTTCGTACGCATAAAATCCTGACAGATGATTCAAGGCGTTGGAGGTTGCGTACAACAATACCGTGCTTGGATCGGATTTTTCAAGTTTCCTACCTCGCATTGATTTGATTTCAAACCAATACAAACCAGCGCGCGTTCGGGCTATCGTAAAATTTTGATCTTCTGCTCCTTCGTACGTAAACAAAGGCGATCCTGGTTTAAGAGTTTTCACTGGCCATCGTGTTTGATCTACTTTTCAGTGAGCAGAAAAATTTGATTTGAAATTAAGCAGGAAAAGTATCACTAGATATCTACCTTTTCCACTAAGTCGAACTTACATTTTGTTCCTTCGAATTTTCGATCGTTTTCAGGTGTTTCTACGTAACTCACCGTCCACGCGATCGGACCGCTGCAGGGACTGACGAGCAACGTCAAAGGTGGACCTTCTCGCGGGTTCAAATAATAAAACCTACAATAATGTTATCTGCATCCAGTATGTCTTGTTCCAAGTTTGTTAGTATCGAAGAGATATTGAAAGAAAGATGGTAGAAGAAGGATATGTGGGTTTTTTACGTGCGAAGCCCATAATATAGGTAGAGTATATAAAATAGGTAAAAGGCGGATGAGGCTATATTTAGTGAGTTGGTTTGATCACGTAGTTCGTGTGGTCAACGGCAGCGGCAACTGCAGCGGCAACTGCAGCGGCAGCGACAACGGCACGCTCGCGTCGGTTGAGTTTGTCAGTCTTCTTTCTTCCACCCTTTTTATCCTTTAGCTTGCGTATGCTTTGGGCGTCGGGCACGCACGTGCTCTTTCCCTTTTTCTCTTTCCTCGTGACATTCCCCTCGTTAGCTAGTCGGAGCTGTCTTTGCCATTAGTGTTGGTGCCGATGCTGCTGCTGCTGCTGTTGCTGCTACTGCCAGGGAGACGGCTATTGTAAAATTAGCGCCGGGACACAATGCCGGCGTCGCGGCGTCTGGGGTCGCGGCAGCCACGACCCCCGTGATCTAAATTCGGCCGCCGAAGCCGCGGCGGGACCTTCCAATTGATTCTGTCATTCGACTTCGTTCAAGGACCGCGAGCGTAGAGGAACGAGCAAAGAACCTTTTGTAGGAACAATCTTTTTCAAAATGTACCTTTCTTTGAACAAAAATATATAACAGATAGATTATTGACTGCTTCCAAAACAACAATCTGTTCCGATCTATTTCGTACGTAGGCTGACGTCTTGCCGAGAAGTTTTGAGAAAAAAAATCTTAGATATATAGCAGTGCAGCCGTAGCCGCTTTTCGTGGAAAAGATCCGATAGTAGAACTTTTATGGTGCGTATCGTCGCGACGCGAACATCGCTCCCCCGGAACATAACTACTTCTCCCTTCACGGATCGCGACAAGTTGCGCTCCTCGAATAGGGACGACTCCTCTATACGAGAGAAGAAATTAGACGCTGTCGTCGCATTCTCTTACCAATTACATTGCTAAATCGATCCTTTCTTTGTACACGAACAAATAATTATACTCCGAGATTCTCTCTCTCTCTCTCTCTCTCTCTCTCTCTCTCTCTCTCTCTCTCTCTCTTTCTCTTTCATCGAGTCAAATGTTCAAGAAATAGTATAATCGTATTTTTGAAGGATTTATTTTTCTACCATATGCAATCGCATTCTAAACCACCTGATATCGGATCACGCGTACTTTCGTTATTCTCGCGGAGTTTAAAAAAAATGAAAGAGCAGTGAATTATAATGATATCGTAATAAAATGCCGAAACAGGGAGTAATATTATATTTCTATATTCGTTTATGTGATTTCGATATGTGAAATTTAGTACGTGATTCGCGAGGCAAAGGGGTAAACGTTCGAAGGCTTATGCGTCATACGTGCCTCGTAAATACGAAAGAAAGTTTGATTATAACGAATATACATCTTTTTGCTCTTTCGTTCCGCACGAGGGATGCAAAAATAGATCCGTTCTATATTCTTCCTCGTTTCCTCCTCGTTTCTTTCTCGCTTCTTCCTCTTTGTTTCGCGAAAAGAAAAAAAGTCAAGAGGATGTAATCGAATATGTATTTGATCACCGAGATAAAACAACGATAGAAGAAATTAGGATAGATAAAAATGGACGTTACAGCTAGTTTTAGGTATTTTGGGGGCTATATTTTTGGTATTAAAGTTGGAATGCTCACTGCGACACATTGCCCGGTCGAAGAGTTGCCGGTATCTGGTATTCGGGATGCAACACGCCGGTCCTGTTGAATTCTTGAGCGCGTGTCGGTCTCTCGGCGCCAAAGGGTCTCGGACTGCCTATCGTCCTGCGAGTCAAATAGGATTTCTCCTCTTGCTCCCGTTGCTGCCGAGGCTGCGGTTGAAAGAATTTCTCGCAAAAGGCGCATCCGGTGCACCGAGATGTAGAAAGTGACGCGACCAAGAGCAGGAGGAGGAGGAGCCGCGGACGGTAAGACGACATCGTGACTATTGCCGTGACTATTGCCGTGACTATTGCCAAGACTCTATATTGCCACCGTACAAAAGGATTTTATAAAAGGAAGGAGAAAGATCGGGGAGAAGTAGGAATAGGGTTGCGAAGATAGGAGAAGAGGACGACGAGGTGTCTAAAGGAGAATAGTGCCGACGCCGACGATGACGACGACGGCGACGGCGACGACATCCGTCGTCCAGTGGCGAACGAGTTCGACTGTGTGTCGAGCAGCAGTACAAGGCAGAAGACGACGACGACAACGACGATGATGACGACGACGACGACGACGACGACGACGACACCAGGCTGCCACTGGAGCTGTAGCTTAGGAAACCACGCCAAAGACGACCAAACGAAATAACCCCTCTTCCTTTCCTACGCACCCGACGACTTGGTCTTCGTCTCGTCTTCTGGAAGGAACCCTCGCGATCCCTTTCGCCTCCTCTCCCCTCTTCCGTCGCCACCTTTGGCGCCTCTCTCTTCCCCCTCCCTTTCCACATGCCGCCCTTACGCTCTCTTCGTTCCTTCCTTTCTTCCTTCCTTCCTTTCTCCCCCGGGTGACCTCATTAATAAGCTTCTTACCCTTCTTACCCTTTACTTTGCTTTTCTCTCTCTCTCTCTCTCTCTCTCTCTTTCTTTCCAAAACAATGCGCAATACTTAAATAGGTAATCCTTGAATATTTGCTGCCTACTCGGGTGGAAAGTGTTGCGATTATCTGTGCGCGACATACCTATAGTCCTTTGGTCGTAGAAAAAAGATAATTATTGGAACGTATGGGAGTAGTCAGCAAGATTGGCTGCATAAGGCAAAGCAAGGCGGATGGACGTCACCGGGGCATCAAACGACCTTCCTGTTTCATGGGGCGCGAGGAAAGAAGAAGCCGATATGGCGCGAAGATCGCGTAGAAAGGGAAGTTAGTATAGGATGGGACGATGATGACAGCAGGTCTGGCGGGTGGCAGGCCAATAAATCATGGCCTGCAGTGTGGGAACCTCCGACTATATGCTCCACGCGTGCAGGATATACCATCGGTAAAACATTACTCCCGAAGCAAAAATCTCACAAAGCGCGACTATTCTCTTTAGTTCAGATTTTTTAAATATCTATTAAACTAAAGAATTTTTTTTTTATTGGGGCAACGCGTATTTGTTCTTCGTTCTTTTGACGTTTCGAAGCTGTCAAAATAAGTGTAAAAATATAAAATGGGAAGGTTAGAGGGTAAAGAAACAGCATGTTCTCCGAGTGCAAAAAGAGCGTTTGTTTGTTCCCTAGGCCTGAACATTAGCGCCTCGAATGTCGGCTCCGATGATCCATCGGGTATCGAGTTTACACTTCTCTCTCTCGCGCTCTCGTTCTGCGAAGACCTATTACGTTTTACCTCTTTGCCACCTTGCGATATTGACCCTGCCTTCTTCGAGAGCGACACCTTCCAAGTGTCATCGTATAACCGAACAAGAAAATTGTAGCCAACCAGCAAGCCAGCTACTGCAGCAGCGGAAGACCGTCCCTCCTGGCTACTCCGATGTCGCACCGGCAATTCGAGATCTTATTCGCGTGCATTTGCTCTCGCTCGTCGTAGATACCCTGCGAAACCAAAGACAATCGGTCCTTGCAATAATTATACAATTGATATCGATTTTCCCTTTGAAGGATATACCTACGTTCTCAGGTACACTTTACGTAGCTGCTAAGGTAGCACAAGATGAATCTTGGTCGCTGCTTCGCTCTCTCCTCTCCTGGAATTCTGATCTTTTGCTTGAACCGGCGTATTACTTATTTATTAGGACCGTACCCGGGTGGTCCGCGACATGACGGAATCGATTACGCGAGTTCGCGGAACTGGCCTTCCGCTCGAACCCCTTCGGAATTATGCTTCCACTCGTTCAAATTCGGCGTTCCTCAACCTCCTTCTATGTTGTCTCTCCCTACCTCTTCTTCCTACCTACCTGCCTCCCTTTCTGCCTCCCTTCCTGCCTCCCTTCCTGCCTCCCTTCCTGCCTCCCTTCCTGCTTCCCTTCCTGCCTCCTCCCTTCCTCCTCTTTTTCCTTTCCTCTCGTTTTACTCGACGCTCCTTCTGCCAAATCGCTCCTTCTTTTTTGTTTGCACGCTTTTCGTCTCTCGACCTCTTTCTCTTTAACTTTCTAACTTTATCCCTTGCATCCTCCATCCTCTTCTCCTTACCTTTCTGCTTATTATGTAATCAGAATAACAATAATTGCTTCGGAACTGCTTCGACTGCTCATCAATCCATGTGACAGTTAGTTGCCCGCGGCTACGTATAGGCTTCGATCCTTTGCCGCTTTCCCAAGATCTCTCCGCGTACGATTTCAGGGATGAGAACAAAGAACGCATGTGCGTTGCTATCTAAATGCTAGAAAATGTAAAGACATTTTCTCTTCGATCTAATCACTTCGAAAATCACTATCTCATTTATTTATTATCAATGGATAATGAATTCAAATCTATACGAATATATTCGATATTTCGGTGTTTAGGTTTCGACGGTGAGTAAAGAAGGTTCGGTAAAGAATAAAATATCATTTTGTTGCAATTGTATGTACAGTTTTTATTTGGGTTAATATAGTAATTTTTCATATCAGGGCAGGCAAATACGATTGGGTCATCTTATGCGTTAACGTTCCGATGCCTCGTACAAGAGCGTACGTCAGTTCAAAGAGCGAACATGGGGGGTACAAAGGTAGCTAGCCTCGTCCTAGCCTCGTTATTGCGCATTCACACTCTTCTAAGATAATTACTGCGTTTGTCTCTTCTTTAATCTCCCCGTAAATGTTTTCGTCTAATTTAATTACGTACGTAATAATTCGATTAATCAATAAATCCGTAATAAATCCGTATAAACGTTTGAATTGTGTGCGTGAGTGAACTAGTGGCGTCGATGCCTGTCGTAGACATCGACTAGGAAGTCTCTGTAGTAACCAGCGGTAAACGTATCACAAGTTATGTAGCAAGTTTATTTATTCGTCATCGGAATGCGAGCGTTCGATGCTCGAGGTAAGTGCCTTTTCCTTTTCCTTTTCCTTTTCCTTTTCCTCCTCTTTTCCTCCTCTTTTTCTCCTCTTTTTCTCCTCTTTTTCTCTCCGACTTCTACTACCCTCTCTCCCATCTCCCCCCTCCTTCTCTGTCCATCTCTTTTTCTCCTTACCGACAAGTTGCAATTTTGCGGATGAAAAAGATGACATTCTTTAAGAGATTCGACTCTCCCCTTCCTTTTCTCGAGCTCGCAAGTTCAAAAGTGCGAGGATAATGTTTAACAACGCTTACAAGCACGTGTCGAACCTCGAACGCTCGTCTTTATTGTATGTAGTTTATAGCGTAACACAACGTCGCGACGCTCGTCGTCTCTTTTTCGTTCACCAAGCGTCGTCGTTGAAAGGACGACGCGCGTTACCTACGATCGTTGTGATCGCTTAGATAATCGTTATTGTATATCAAACTTTATAAACTGTAATATAATGTAAACCTGTAAAAAATATACTGGGTGGCGGCGGCTCTGTATAATATAATAAGTAGTATTATAATCGTTATGGTACAATTGTAATTAGTATAAATATATCATTATGTTATATATTGCGACGTATGTTTTCATTACTTCAGGTTTTTCTTTCCTTCGTCGACTGATTTTCTCTTTTCTATCTTCTTTCTCGTTCGTTCGCTCTTTCTTTCGCGCACGCATACACACGCGTACACACGTAATCTCTCTCTCTCTCTCTCTCTCTCTCTCTCTGTCTCTCTCTCTCTCTCTCTCTCTCTCACTCCCTCGCCCTCTCTCTCTCTCTCTCCCTCTCTCTCCCCTTTCCATTCCATTTTATTGAAAATTTCTGGAAAACTTTGTTACGCTATGTCCATCTTTTCGTCAATCTCCCTCACATCGAAGAATACGATAGATTCTCGTTGGTACAGCAAAGACGTTCAGATACGACTGTAAAAATCGATTCTTAATCCTGTAGAGCGTAATTGTTAGAAAGTTTGGATAGTCATTGAAATGAATCGGAATGTCAGTTAATAAATAAACAATGCGCCCGTATTCGTTTTAACAACGAATCAAACTTATCCTTGGTGAAAATGAATTGCAAAGGTATCGAGAAAGACGTGCGATCTTTGCTATACCATGCGATTTAAACTACAGCGTATCTTCGTTATTAAATAATCGTGCGCTCAAAGCGAGGCTAGGGCGATTTAGGAACTACGTGACAGCACAACCGATGCAAGTAACTATTTCATCTGTATGTTTTCTTTCTTTCATAAATAAATTCAAAGTGAAGAAAGTACGGACTCGAAGATTTCTATATCTTGGCGAAAACAACTATCGATAGATCGATCGAATCGAGCTTCATTCTTTCGGAGCTCGTCCTAAAAATTTTCTTTAATTTGTATCAAATTCTTTGGCAAATAAAAAATAGATCTTTGGTAAATGTAAAATATGGTAAAAATGAAGTATACAAATAAATGTCATCTAATATAAATGGAAAAGGATATGAAGATGGATTAGCTTTGACGGATTGTAGAATATTTTTGAATGAGATATGATCGATAACGTAGAACAAGCCACCGACTTGCATACCGACAGTCGGTCAGTCGGTTGGTTGGTTGGTTGGTAAGAATTAATGCGGGGAAGGACGTGGGAGGAACTCTTTTGTGCCATCTTGCGATTGCATCGCGTACGTGTTTTGCGCGTGATTAGATGAAACGTTGATAAAAACATTTTCTGCATTATTTCGTTCGCTTGAACGTGTCACGCCGCAATGAAGAAACCTCGTGTCCTGCAAATTCTACACTTTTTTCTTTTTTTTTTTTTTTCGATTTCTTAGCGTTCGATGGTTTTATCCAAAGAACAATGCTCGTAATGCACAATTATCGATGAATATATGTACATACATATGCATATATATTACGTTATATGTATAATATATATATATATATATATATATTATACATATGTAGATGTATTTAATACATACATACGCATATATATTACATTATATATATACACATGTATATATTACGCACAAATGATCGATTGCGCGATTTCCGATCCTATGTACATACGTAATATTACATAAATTGAAAATAATATCTTCGGAGGCATCGTCCTCATTCTTTCTTTCCTTCTTCTCTCGATTCTTGCTGTATCTCGTTCTCCCTCTCTCTCTCTCTCTCTCTCTCTCTCTCTCTCTCTCGGGCGTGCTTCCTTCCTCTCTCATACACACTCACTTTCACTCTTTCTTTTTCTGTAGTCTTCTCTCTTAAAATCGTTCGCTCGTTTGCGCTAATGCTTTAAACTAGAAAGAAAATACTTTCTCAGTTTTATTTCATATTTATCGAATAATCGTACTATTTCACCCCTCATACTGTAGGAACTTAAAGACGGTGACATTCGGCAATGCACGAAGTCCCGGAGAAAATAAAACCTTTTTATCTGTCGTTTTATACCTGTCAGTAATATAACGGCCGGCTTACATACATGTAGACATACACGTGTATCGGTTTTCATAAATACACGTATGTGCAAACATATATAGTTATCTTAATGGTAATAATCGTGTAATTAATAACAATGTTTATAATTAGGCGTTTCGACGAGACCGTCGCTTGGCAATATCGTGGGTGCGCGTAGATCGAGCGATAACGATCATGAGAGAACGGTGATAACGACGATAGCATACGTTTCCGATATTCCTAAATGCTAGCGACAAAAGTTGCCTTTCGTTCGCGCCAAAGGAGAGGATTTATAAGTTCGATAATTGTGGATCAAATGTTTCCTCTCCTACAAAGTGAATGATTATTGATGGATTCGTCGTTTACGTATCTTCTTTCTTTAATCCGGTCTCATTTGACTTCATCTCTTCTTCCTAATAATAATGCACGCTCGTTAAGTCCATCGTGCGTGATCGTTTTTAACAAAATAGCAAATGATCGATAGTCGCTCGACCTCGCTCGTTATATCAGCTGAATTTGTGCATGCGCAAGCTACGGAATGATAAAAAAATTAACTATGCGGCAGTAGCAGCAACGGAATGATATGTCGCGATAGTTTCCCTTATTCTTTTCCTACAAGATCAACGGTCCTACTTGCCGATCCGTTATCATAGCAAATGTGCTAATTGTAATCATAATATGAACAATGATAATCCTTGGCGTATCGATAGCCGATATTTAATAATTAATATGAATAATCGATGACTATTGTGGCAACAATAATGATAATAATGGTATAAGACGATGACAATGATAGTAATAGTCAAAGTAATAGTAATAATAGTGATAATAATCATAGAAATACAAAAACTATGAGATTGAAAAAAAAAGAGAAAAAACTAAAATAACGATAATATGATAATAATCGGGAAACGTAAAAATATATATGAATAAAATTTATAATGATAAAAGCTTAAATGATATTAATAATAAGTAATTAGGATTCACGTCGTCACATTCAAATACGTTGTATCGTAATCTTTTATACTACGTTTATATTCCTCAAATAACGTGTCTTTCTCTCTCTCTCTTTCTCTCATTCACTCTCTCCTTCTCTCTCACTCTTTCTCTCTCTCTCTCTCTCTCTCTCTTTCTCTCTCTCTCTCTCTCTCTCTCTCTTTCTCTTCATCTTTCATTTCGATTATTTTTTCTTCAACAGCCGATTGCAATATAAAATATGAATAACCAAACATTTCCCGCTTGCCTTGTGTCAATACTTACGAGAAGCACACGTAAATGTGCTGAATGAATTAACATTTAACTAACATTCCTCTATATATGAGATGGAATGCTTATATTAGGCTAAATAAAAGACAATTGAAAGTAGCATTACTTTTCAATGTTTTTTTCTACTTTGTCAAGCACCGCCACTTATTTTCGTCTAATCGTAAGTTCCGCTTTGTCTATCCTGTGGTATTTTGAAACAAAGAGAGAGAGAGAGAGAGAAAGAGAGAGATGCGACGAGACGTATCTTATGATCGGCGAATGGTCTGAAATCGTTCTAATGTTTTTCCTAAAAGACTTACGAATAACTAAATAGGCAAAAGTTGCAAACATTTATCTACCTTACGTACTGATATTTCATTAATTGAAAAATAATACTGAAGTCTGCACGAGGTGCCTATCACATATGTCTATTTAGTAAATGAAATGCAATGCATTTGCACGCATTTTCGTCGACCGCACGGCTGATTTTGTCGCTTCTTCTATCACGCAGAAAAACTTTCTCTCTCTCTCTCTCTCTCTCTCTCTCTCTCTCTCTCTTTCTCTCCCTCTTTCTCTCGTCCATTCATTCTCTCTTTCTCTCTCTTTCTCTCTCTCTCTCTCTTTTTCTCTTTTCCCCCTCCTACGTGCTCGCTCTTACCAGCCCGTTGAATGTCTTTCTTATTAACAGAGCGAATAAAAAATTATTAAAACCATTTTCGTCGAGACTGTACCGTTATGGTTCGCTGTATGAAAAGAAATAAAAGAAGAAAGTTTCTTACATGGTCGTTCGAAGAAGTCAAATTCGCGTAGGACTAGGAAAGTTTGCATCAAAGTAGACAAAGGATACGATCAATTGTGAAGCATTCGACGACGACGGCGATGACGACGACGACTCGTTAAACTATAACGCGTATGCATCTAGAGATTATGTTGGCTGGAAAACATGTAGATGTAACATATCGAACCCGCGGTACAGGTCGTCGAACTAGTTGTAATCTCTTTTGACACACCCTGTCTCTATGTATATATATATAATATATATATATATATATCATTAATAATCAATAATAATATCAGTTTGTATTGTACAGGCTACTTGGGGCTGAAAGCCTGTGGTCTCTCTAATTATATTTATTCGAATCCTTGTTGTTTCGTACTCGAATATATTATTTCCTTCCCTTATTACCTTTCTACTTAAGATATTTGTTTTTTTGTTTTTTTTTTTGTTTTTTAATAATATATGCATCTTGCCCTCGCTTCGTGTAGCAAGGTTCGACGTAACGAATTTTTCCCATTGTTCCTTGCCGCTCTCGAGCCATATTTGTGTATTTTCCTTTCTTTAGTACTTTAATGAAATAATCGTATGTATTATAGCTTTATGTAATTATTTTTAACCTTTACACTTTAATATGTAGCTTCTTTTTTATCTATCGTAGATTTGTCAGTGGCTATCCCTGATGTGTTAGTTACCCTGCGCTTCCGTCTGGTTGTCGAAATATTGTTACGAGATTGTGGTCTACGATTAAAATTCGTCGTTTCTTTCGAAATTCGCACCATATGAAAAACGATCTGGGCGCTTGTTACGCCTACATAAAATGTTTTCTTTTTATATTATGTCAACCGGAGAAGAGATGCAAGCCGTGTGCATTTGTCCTCTTCCCTCTGTCGAACTTGCTTCTCGAACGACACTTTGAACGATCTCGAACTGCTCAAATTTTATTTTCTCACTCGCAGTCAGTGGTGACACACTAATAGATCAAATAAATGACGAACAAAAGTATCATATACGCGGTCATTTGTACGCAAACGTATACACACATATATCGATCCTTGAATACTATGTTCGTTAAAAAACAACTTATTTTGTTCAATTGTCATTGAAATAAATATCGAACGAAAAAGATGTTTTTTTTTTAATCAATACTCGACCATTTATTATATGAACAAAGTATTAATACTACGTTCGTATAATAAATGATAATAAAAGAAACAATTGACGTCGTTAAAAGTTTGTATACTTGAAAAGAAAATGAGATAGCTTTCCTAAGAAACAGTATTCTCCTTAGCATTTAGTTTGTAAGCGTATAAAAATGGAAACGTAATGCGTTAATTTATCACGATTTATAACTCATCAGGATGAATAATGAAAATCGGAAAAAAGAAACATTAATATGATAAATATAAAGGAGAAAAGAAAATACGATTTGAGCAGAGAGAACGCTTGTCGAATCAATGATCCGGTGTGGTGGTGGTGGTGGTGGGGGGGGGGGAAGGGATCGCGAGCATTGGTCGGTCGATTCAGTCTTGCAGAAGATATAACTTTCGTCGGAGAAACTCGAATGTTTCACGTATAAATACGACCGCGCGAAAACGTAAATATGTATTCGAATGAACGAGGCAACGAATGTGCGAAGGAAGGGTATTAAAATGCTTTTTCGGACGATCAAATGTGTTCTATGATTCTTAAAGGAAGATAACAATTACGATCGATATAGATCCAGTCTTTTGTCTTTTTCATTATTTTCCTTCCTTCCGCTCGCTCGTTTGCCCAGTCCTTTTTTCTTCGTCCCATTCTCTCTCTCTCTCTCTCCCCCTTTTTCACTTTTCGCATAAATTGATGCCCACTAATCCGAGCCATTTTGTTGAAGCAACGCCGGTGCCGATTGCGAAGGTTGAGGTTGCAACGATTCGTGATGATAACGATGATGATGATGGCGATGGCGATTGTGGTGGTGATGGTCCTCCGGCGAGGGGGTCCGACTGCCATGGGATGATTCGTGTTCCGGAGCATTCGAAGAAGCAGCAGCAGCAGCAGCGGCAGCAGCGGCAGCAGCAGCAACAGCAACACCAGCAGCAGCAGCAGCAGCAGCAACAGTACCAGAAGTTCCCGCGGTGTTACCATTGCCAGTGGTACCAGAACTTCCATTGCCGCCTACGCTGACATTGTTGTTACTGCTTCCGGGGTGCTCGTAAACCTTCTGCTCGCTCGGAGGTAAAAGATGTATCATGTTAACCGGCACGGGGAAGGTCGCGCTAGCGAAATCCGGGTAATAAGCTTGAGAAAGGTTAGAGCCGAGAAGCGAGTGATGCGGAAATCCACTGTCGTCGGCTGGATGGGGTGGAAGGCCGACGAGCGGATGGCCCAGTTGCGCCGGTGGTTGTTGAACGGTTTTCACGTTATTGTTCAAAGAATTCATGACTGCGTCGCCGGTAGTCGCACCGGTGCAATCTCTTCTCAATTGCTCAAGCTTCAAACTTTTCCCGTATTTACCGCGCACGTACATCAACAAACTGTTGTACGGTATGCCGAATATCCGGCTTGCCTGGGACGTCGTCATTTTCTTGTTCCACACGTGTTGAAGCGCTTCGGTCAGCTCGGCATTCGTCCAAGACCTCGGTGGACCGCCCCGTGGTGCGCTGTGTTGACCCTTGGGTCTGCCAACGGGCACGTTGCGTCCTCCTTGATCGGTCCACCTTCTGGGTGGATCGCCCTCGGCTCTGAGCTTCCTCTTCTTGCTAGGTGGATGACTCGTTAAGGCGGCCGGAACGAACAATCCGTGCAACTGTTCCGGCTTTAAGCCATCGTGAAGATCCGCTAAAAGTGATCCCCTGTCGATTCCGGCGCCAGGAGAAAAGAGCCCGCTCAAAGAAGCAACGGTATCGAGAGGAAACATCGATGCAATCGAACCTCGTCGCGATGATTCTTGTTGCTGTTGTTGTTGTTGTTGTTGTTGCTGCTGCTGCTGCTGTTGTTGTTGTTGTTGTTGTTGTTGTTGCTGCTGTTGCTGTTGTTGTTGCTGTTGTTGTTGATAGGTGTGAGAAGTTCTAGCGGTGCCAAGCGGACTATCGGGCCGCGAATGATGACTTTGCGTTGGCGGCGGTGGTAGTTGGCTCTGGGGATGATTCGGAAGCCAACGTACCGCTAATTGGCCCATACTCGTCAGGTACTCGCTGTGATGATGGGGCGACGTCAAGGATAACGCGGCCGACATGGCAGGTATACCGACGACGGCCGCGGCCGCCACCGATGGAATATCTTGAAAAGAACCGTCGGGATGGAGAAGACTCGTGCCGGTAAGCGGCGAACCCCGTGGACTACTCGCTGTTTCGCTACTTTCGGTTTTAACCTGATGTAATTGTTGATTAATATGATGATATTGTTGATGCAGTTGTTCTTGACCAATCGGCGAGAGGGTTCTCTTTATCGATAAATTCTCCGCCATTTCCTCCTGTTCTTGTTGTTGATTCGAAGCGCTCGCGGAAAGTTGCAAATGGTGCTGATTTAGCTGCTGATTCTGGTGTTGTTGGTGATTATTCGAAAGGTTCAAAGAGGTAAACGGTGGACTTAGACTTCGCGGTGGATGAGGTCGGCTCAAGTCTTGTGGTACCAATTCCCCAGATCTTCGCCGTGGTCGTGCTTGCTTTCTGCGCGGCATCAACGGGGAACTACAGGTTTCTCTTAGGTCCCGTACACCGAAGTTCAAATGAGTCATGTGCGGTAATCTATCGCGATGGTCCCCCGAAGGGTGGTAGATCGTTCGTTTGGACGTCGCGATCGTTTCTCTAACGGATGCTCGTACCCCCGAGGTTGTTTCCTCTGTCGCCGTCGCCGTCGCCGTTGCCGTCGTCGTCCTCGTCGCCGCCGTCGCCGTCGTCGTTGCCGTCGTCGTTGCCGTCGTCATTGCCGTCGTCGTCGTCGTCGTCGTCGTCGTCGTCGTCGTTGTCGTCGTCGTCGTCGTCGTTGTTGTCGCCGCCGCCGCCGCCGCCGCCACGATTTCCGATGCATTGTCCTCCTCTTCGGGAGTATCCTGCCTAGCCTCCTCCGGCGTAGATGGCTCACCGAAATTGAAATCGGCCATTTGGGTATCCGACGGTGATGCTTCCCTTAGTTCCGTCGAGGTCAATCCTCGAATCTGCAGATTATCCGCCGCTTTTATCAACCCCGGCAATTCTTCTCGACTGACTTGCACTTCTCCGCGATACATAAAGTCGATCAATGCCGAGATTTCCGAACCGGGAAAATCCTTGAGTACAATCACCGGATGCTTGCACGGATGGGCCGCGAATATTTTCTCGAAGAAGGGGCTAAAATACATTGAAGGTAATACATAGGTAATGAAAAATATCTATTAACAAGGAATAAATACTAATAAAAAGAAAAACAAATAGAAGGTGATGAAAATAATGCCGCTGGAAGAATCTCGAAAAGACCCTTTTTTTTGGTCTATAATTTTAGTTCAAAATCTCTCTCTCTCTCTCTCTCTCTCTCTCTCTCTCTCTCTCTCTCTCTCTCTNTCTCTCTCTCTCTCTCTCTCTCTCTCTCTCTCTCTCTCTCTCTCTCTCTCTTTCTCTTTCTCTCACTCTTGACTTATTCACATAGATTTTTGTTCATTCTGCTTCCTTAGCGCGGCTTATTTCTCAAGGAAATAATGGTAAAAGGTAAGGAAAAAAGCATAAAAGACATGTGTAGAAAAAGCATAGAAGAAAGAAGCAAAGTTTTGTTCGAAGCAAGAAACGCTTATTTCTTGTCGCGCGCGAGAGGCGCGCTTTTTCAACCCTCCTATGAATCGATCCAAGCCGTTTAATCGATTACAAGGAAATGCTCGAGCGTAACGTAAGAAGCTCGTCAAATCGCGATCCTCGTAAAAAGATAGATGTTAGATGTAACGATCGAATGTAGATGTAACTTCTTATAAAGCTTACATAAGGTAAGTTTCACACGTTTCACACGTTTCACACGTTTCACTCCTTTCACACGTTTCTCCGGCATATCTCATAGCCTTGGAGGAGGGAACGAAAGGAAAGCGATTAATAATAAATTCAAACCTGCAAGCGCTGAGGACGACCTTGTGAGCCCTGTAACTAGTGTCGGCGCAAACCAAGGTAACGTCGACGAACTCCTCCTGGTGCAAAAGAGCTTCGAAGGACTGAAGTATATGAGCTTGATGATTGTTCCATCGAAGGGAGAAGTGTGATTGAAAAGCCATCCCATCGGGACTTTCCGCAGTGCTGGACATTTTTTCAACGGCCTCGGCGCCGTTGTTGGCGGAGGCAACCTGGCCTTCCACCTCCGCCTCGTTCTCCTTCGTTTCTACCGGTGGCGCGATCGTTTTCCTCTTCCATGCACACATGTACGCCCCGCGGTTGCGAGCTAAACGTAAACGAACACTTTGTTATTTTTATTTTCTTCCTTTCGCAATAGCGATATCGCGTCTACGATTATTTTCTCGCAAATCGAGCCACGATCGTCGATCCTTCGTCGTCGTCGGTATCCCCGACAAAATGTTTCTACGTAAACGCGCGTTCCCTCCCTCTCCCTCTAATCTGCCCCCATAGTTTTCTCGAGTATATTCATCCGAATGATTCGATACGAATGAAGCGAACCTTTGTTCGAGAAGAAGAAGAAGAAGCTTTACCAACGCGTTTAATATTCACGTTTTCTATTTTTTCTCGAAACTCTAGTGTTTCTACAGGAGATACACGAGGACCGCGACGACGAAACGATCGGGGCTGAAAATGATGCCGAGATGTTAATTAATTTCTATTTATTCGCTAAACGCGCGATTTGTCCTAATATTTGAAGCATTCGAAGCGTATCAATGTTAGGGAAAAATTGCAAAGGTGGAAAGAAAATGTTCTCGGAATGTTTCGAACAACGATTCGAAAAGACGTTCCCGCGTATGTCGTAACACGGTCGCGCGTCAGCGAGCACATGTAAGTGCATATTGACGATGCGATGTCGATGTCTACGAGTTATCAATGACTCTATACGTATTTTTATGCACAGTTTGTTAAGAGGAAAAAAATGTCAAAGTAACACATAGAGGCAATTAATGTTTCAAAGGGTTTATGGGAGACGAGATCAAGTCGAACACGTTGTATACGATAATTAAACGATCCGCGTGCTTTCCGATTTCGTAGCAAGCCAATTGACGACTCGTTAAACGTCTTGGTTGTATGCCCATTGAAAATTTCAGACTTAATTAGTACGTATATTGTAGATTTACAAAATGATCGGAAAAGAAAAGATCGATATTTTGCCTTGAGGGAGGTTGTTCAACGTACGAGCGAAAATAGACGACCGTTAAGAATGCTCTTTTCGATGGGCACATTTGGAAGATAAATATTCATTCAAATAAACATCCAATCGTCGTCGAATTAAAATCTGACGCGTAACCAATTTGAAATGGATGAATGTTTATGTTTCGGCTCGTACGTAACATACACCGTGTCACACATGCACTTGTTTTTCTTTCGAAGAAAGATACAACACCTTTGTAACACTGCTCAAGACTTAAGGAGGAATCGCGACACGTCTAATTTCACGAATCGCGGCACTAATCCTCGTCGAATTCGTACGAATGTCCAATGTCCTCTTGGTCTAACGTTGTCCATATTTAAATAACTTTTAGCACGTAGTTTGTAGTACACTTTGGACGAGATCAGCTTTTGCAACGGTACGTACTCGCACTCGAATGAAATTTCCTCGTAATTTTTACGTTTTCGCGGTCTTTTTATTTATCTCGCAAAAATACGAAGGTAAGGTAAAATAAAAACGATTGAAATCACTGACGCGCGCGAACTTACGTGAGCGATCGTATTCGTAGGGTTGATAGAACAAATGTTATTCCGTATACATGTAGAATAATATCTTGAAGAAAAACAAGAGATCAAGGATAAGAGAGATCGGTCGGTCTTCGTAATAACGCGAGTACTCGCCGATTGTAAGCACACACGTGAACGATCGATTCTTTTTCTTTTCAACTTTCGGTCAACGCGAATGATTGCGCAAAACTCGATTTCTTCTCTAGTCGGCTACGAGCGCGAAGAAAACTGCCTGAGAGATATCGAAAGATACGTTGGCGGGAAAACTAAAAGCGACTTAGCGGACCACCCGCGTGACTCATCTTTTCTCCTCGTGCTTTCTCTCGGAATATAGTACAGGAAGTGCAGGTAGAAGTGCGAGAAAAACGAGAGAGACGGAGCGTGACTAGGGTCGGAGAGAGGGGAACGACCGAAAGAGAGGGAGAGGGAGAGGGAGAGAGAGAGAGAGAGAGAGAGAGAGGAAGGGGCGGGGGTAGGTAGCGCGCGGCGCCCCAAACGAAGATCAGCTGATCATCTTCGATATCACCCACTCTACGCACTAGATAGAAAATTGATTAGCTGGACAAAGAGACACATAGCGGCGAAGACGAACGAACGCGTATATCCTTTTGATTTTCACTTGGCAACGGAGAAAGTTTCACTTTTCGAAAATTTGAATCGTCAACACTGGTGCTGCTAAAAGCGCTATTCGTTGGAGGAAAAAGCTCGCTCGGCGGGATTCGACTAGGGCTTTCGACTAGAGTTCAGGCTGGGGGGAAGGCGGAAACGTTCAAGTTAAAACTGACCGTATCGTATGGAACGCGTGTGCGGCACAGCGGCGTCGGCGACGGCCGGTGAGTGAATGCGCCGTGACGTTAAGCGCCCCTCCTAAGATTCCCCGCAGGCCCCTCGCCACTCTCTCTCACTCGCCTACCCTTCCCTCGATCCTCGTCCTCTCTCCTTTCGAAGCACGCTCGTTCTCCTCGTTCTTCTCCTTCTCTCTTCCACCGGCGGTGCGCGTCTTTCCCGCGCGTCTCTCGATACTAACCCACCCTCGTGCTTTTCTTCCCTCCCCGCCGCGCAAATTTACCACTACCAATCTCGACTAGTATTACCATCCGACGCGGACCACTATCGCGTCCACCACCGCGGTACCTTTCGCGGCCCTCCTTCGCGGCGGCCCTCCTTTCGCGGCCCTCCTTTCGCGGCCCTCCTCCTTTCGATCGACCCCCGCGATCGACTGCCCAGTGACGACCCTAATTCCTTTGTTCACCGCTCTCGTGTGTTTGTCGCACGGAAAACTTTCCAAAATAAATAAGAGAAGAGAGAAAAGTGAATGATTCGAGCTAAGGATACGTACACTTCGAACGGTTTCCTCTCTCTCTCTTTCTCTTTCTCTTTCTCTTTCTCTTTCTCTTTCTCTTTCTCTCTCTCTCTCTCTCTCTCTCTCTCTCTCTCTCTCTTTCTCTCTCTCGCTTCTCTTCTTTCCTCTTCTTTCTTTTATTAACTTTCTTTGCTTCGGGATTATTTCTCCCTCCGTTTCTTTATTTTTTTCAACACACTTTTTCTCTTATATTATATTCTTCCCCTTTATTTTATCACAACACTAAACGAACAAATCGGATTGATCGACGACGCTGCTCGGCGTCATCGTTCGACGCGTTGATGTGAAAAAATAAAAAGAACAAAAAGAAAAAGTAAGATCAAAAATAAGTGTGGACGATAAAAAGAACGAAAGAAAATGTCGAGAAAAAGAGGGAAGCCAAGGAGGAGAGGAAGACAAGCAAGAGGATTTAAAACATAGGAGACGGTGGAAACTATCGAATAGGCCGTAACGTTCTTCCCTGGTTCTCATGGTACAAGGACTTTGGTATCCGATCAAGGTAAAACTCACACATTGATGAAACGATCCTTGTTTTTTTTTTAGCTCGTAGAACCGCGCACTCTGGTGCAATCCTGTATTTAATCTGAACGCACTCGCGGTCGTTTGTTCGTCGTTTGGTGCACTCGCGCGATAGCCGGTAGCGTAGCACTCTGTTTCAGGGAGCTCGTGTGTAAACTCGTGCGACGATAGTCAACAACGACTAGCGCGTGGGAGGCCTGTGCGTGCGTGCGTGCGTGCGTGCTTGCGTGCGTAGTCTTCTCGTACGTTTCGACAGGCGGCCGGCCCGACTCTTCGAGCAGTCGCGTTGTGACTGCCTCTTCGGACTTGCCACTGAAAGTGGAGAATGGGACGAGAGTCCCACCTCCTCGTGCCACCTCCAACCGTGTGGGTACCAGCCCATTGGACCCTCCTTCTCCTTTCCTGTCCAACGTATCGCTCCTTCTACTCACCACCATTCTTCCATCGAACCTTTAACGTGCGTTAGACCAAAGTCTCTACTTTCCCCCACCTCTCTTATTCATCCGATATACTTACCTCTCGTTCTATCCCTCGAGACAAGAGTATACATTTGAGTCCTTTCGTTATTCTTCGTTATTCGAACTACCTTTCAAATGGTTTACCTGCCTCTTTCGACCTTCGACCTAATCTTTGATACTTCCTCTTTATCTTAATTATTCTCAGCAGGAAGGCTTTAGTCATGCCGATGGATATGTGAATGCTAGCGGACACCTTAGTGGACTTAACTTTTCTATACAATAGATGGAATGATGGCAATTTCAAGGATTTTCATTCATAGCCCTGTAAAGGCTATAGGGTCGGTCATCAATCACGTTTCTCTTTTTGTCGAGAAACACACATGTTTTTGTGTGTCGACGGCCATAAGATTTTTCGTAAATGTTTTCTCATTCGTTGCTCAAGGACGTAAGGACAGAGACTCGAATAGACAATGAAAAAGGTCTGTAGGCCGTAATGTCAACTAATTGAAAGTATTGGAAGTGTGTGTGTCGGGGGGAAGTTTTGGTTCGCGCGCACGAGGATCGGAGCGCAAATGGATGGCGTTGTCGTCGTCGTCGTCGGCGCTGCCGACGCCGTGACGCTCGGGTGGCGCCCGAGCACGCGTCACGAGGCGCTAGAAAAGCGAAGGTGCCCACGGATGTATTTTTTAATTATTGATTTTAATGACGAGGAGAGCCGCGCCAACGCCATCTTGGATGCTGGGCGGAGTAAGGAGCGCCGCGGCTTGGTGCCCCTCACCCTCACCCTCACCCTCTCCTCTCCTCTCCTCCCCCTCGCGCCGTCATTCTCGTTCTTCTCGGGCTGATTCTCCATCAGCCCCTCTCTCCCGTCCGCCACCTCCACCTTTCGCTCTTTTCTCTTTACGCGCTCTTGCCCTCTGTCCCTCCTTGTTGCCCCTCGGTCCTACTCCTTCCAACGCCACCTTCCTTTACTCCTTCTCTTACTACTACTACTACTACTACTACTACTACTACTACTTTTACATACTTCTATTCCCCTACCCCGTTCTTTCTCGACGCTTGGTAACCCCCTCGTGTTCAGCCACCCCACTTTTTCTCTTCTCTAATATCGAGAGATAGACGAATGATGATTAAGAAAACGTTGCTAGGTGAGAGCTACGAAGACTAGTGTCACCCTCTTCTTTACATCTTCCTGTATTCAACGACAATAGAAACTTTCGAAGGATGATGCAGAATCTTTATATATTTTGATAAAAAAATAATCGTAGATAGAAAAGGAGAAGAAATAAAATGTTGCTCCTATGGACGGACTGGATATCTCCTACCCCTTTAGAAGGGCAACGATAGATTTTGTTTTCTTAAAGACGGTATTCTTTGCAAATTTGTCTTTCGAAAAACACGCTCGACGATATTTAATTACTCTCTTTTAAAGAACGTATCTGTACACGAAGAAGACTCGACTACTGGACGACGACTCGACTGCTTAGTTGCTTTATCTTATCATACGACTCTTTTCTCGAAGCTTCGTCCCACTTGAAACTCCAACAGTCGCATGATTGTGCGTGTTTCGCTACCTCGCGGAAAGTTCGTCCCGACTATGTCGAAATAGTGCATGCCAGCTTAGCGAAAATGCAGAATATAAAGAACTGAAGCGCTTTTCCTCTAGTCTCAACATTTTTCTAATTAAGATAATGTATTTACATAAGCTTGGATCAACAAAACCGAATTCGAAAGCGAGCATTTTTTACGTTAAACGCAATGACCGAATGGTAGGGCGGGCGATAGAAAAGCCGAGCAAGGAAAAGTACCTATGTGTACGTGGAAACGCAAAGGAAATAAGAGATGTTGCAGTGAATAGCAAAGACGAGTGAGCGAGGGAGAGAGAGAGTATGTCGGGATGAAACGAAACAAAGAAACGGTACGAAAGGAATATAGTATGTACGTCGAGTATTCTTGAAACACAGCCCAATTCCTTCTTAGTTTCTTGGGAAGAAGCCTTCTCCTCTTTCTCTCTCTCTCTCTCTCTCTCTCTCTCTCTCTCTCTCTCGATTAGGGTAACGAATCAAGCAACTTTCATCGTTGTTGTATTTTCGGTAACCGACTGCGTGTGGCTCTTATAGGCGTCGAGCGCTGATAAGTTGAGACGAAAAAACGCGGAGAGAAAATGATAGCGTACGACGGCCTAGAGGAAAAAGGATGCTCGTCGATGGAACGAGTCGAAAATAAGACAAAGAGAGAAAAAGAGAGAAAAAGAGAGTAGAGAAGCAAAAGCGGAAGAAGAGGAGAAAGTGCGAGCAGGAGAGCCGAAGAAGAAACGAGAAGAAGAAGAAAAGACGAAGCAGGGTGGTTTTAACGCTATGCGCTGCCAGAGAGAGGGACAATGAGTGGGGTGGAGGGGGAGACGGAGCGAGAGAGAGGAAAAGGAAGGAAGAAAGAAAGAAAGAAAGAAAGGAAGAAAGAAAGAAAGAAAGAAAGGAAGCGAGAGAGAGAGAGAGAGAGAGAGAGAGAGAGAGAGAGAGAGAGAGAGAGAGAGGTGGCGGAGGTGGAATTAATGCACGCACCGGGCCACGTACCCAAACCCTTACAGGGCTGCCAGCCTACTTCGTTATACGACAAGTATAAGAGGAGAGCACAGAGACTTTTATTGATCGCCTGGCAAAAACTCAGGAACCCTCATTTCGTCCTCCGTACCCCCGACTCCCTTTTGCCAACCAAGTTTCTACCCCCTTTTCTCAGCAACCTCGCGAGCCCTTCGACGAAAACGTCAACTGGCAGCATAGTCAAGGTCGCCTTTGTTATCGATATCGGTCTATTCTCCGTCCACGTCGAAAGTCATCTAGACCGAACCATTAGAAATTTGCACACATGCATTCCCTGTCGGAGTAAAAGTTTGAAAAGACGATAAGACTTTTGCCGGTCGATTACGGCGACGAGCCGTAGAAGTTTCCGTAGATCTTCTTTGCAACGTAACCAACGATCGATTTGCTCGTTCCAAAGGATCGTTGGAAAGTTTAAAGAACGTCGTCGAGGATCGAGTATCGATAGAAAAGATCCTACGATCCTCTGTTAAAATCCATATGACTCGTAAACAAACTGGAAATTTATTGAAAAAAAAGGAAATGTAGTACAAACTTTTGTAGTCTTTCAAAAATATTTTCGCTTTTCAAAAAGTTCGCTACCGTTGAACGTAAATAAATACGTAGTAAATACGTGGTATGCGCGTATGTATGTATGTATGCACGTCTTATTATAGTATCTCAGTAGAATAAATCTTTTGAAAGATTTTCAGGTTGCGAAGCGTCGCGGTGGTACCTTTGGTCTGGTTCTTTATACTCTCCAACAATTAACTCTTTGTTTAACATAGAAAAATCAAGTCGCATTGTATGACGAACTCATTTCTTTTTCGACAACGGTTTGCTTCTCTAAGCCGTATCTATGGACGTATCTACGGACGTATCTAGGGACGTATCGGTGCTTTTGCAACTTAAAAACATACAAGTATCGTCGAGTCCAGAGGAAAATGTACTCTCACTGTGGTGGTGGTGGTGCGGCTTGTGTGCAAGGGACAGGATGGGTGGTAGTGTAGCGACTCGGAGGATGGAGCGGGCGAGAAACGGTGAACGGGTGAGATGTGTTTGTTCCACACGAGCTATTGTCCGCCAAGACTACCTTCCCATTGTTTGTTACAATCTCCCCCTCTCTCTTTCAACAACAGCCTCCCCAGAAGCTCCTCAGATTCGGTATCTTAGATCGCGCTCCAAACTCCCTACCGTATCCTACCACGCGAAAATTCCGATATTCTTTCCCTTATTTTTCTGTTCCCCCTTTTTCTTACCAAAATATCTCCTCTCTTTAGTTTTCGCCGGACCACGTTGTGTGCCGACTATTGTAAATCCGTGCTACGGAACGTCGATCGTTTTCGGCACCTCGTAACATATAATGATTAAAGTCTCGCATAGTCAGCGACAGTCGGTGATAGTCGGTGAGTAGAGAGAAGAACAAAAAATAGATAGAGGGAGAAGAGAGAAGAACAAAAAATGAGAGAAAGGAGAAAGAGAAAGAGGGTGGCGCAACCTCCTGGAAATATTCTAATAAGCAAAATTTTCGCTTTTGTATTTAAGAAAAGGGAAAGAAGTGGTAGGACGCGCGAGAGAGAAGGAACGACGCAGGGGGTTGGAACGGAAGAAAGAAATGCGGCGCAGCAACCCTACCGTACTTGGTGTTAGTCGCGATGGTAATGGTGGTAGCTAGCAATGCCGCTTTTCAAGGGGTTGGAGCGAGATGAACAAGTGGAAGTTGCTTGAAGGAGGAAGCGAAGAATACGGAGAAGAAGAAGAAGAAGAAGAAGAAGAACACGTAGAAGAAGAAGAAGCGGAGGTGGAGGAAAAGTAGTAGAAGTAGTAGGAGGTGGGGGAGGAGGAAGAGGTAGATGAGAAGGTAGAGAAAGAGGTGGTCGTATTGTCTCAAGGGGATGGTTGCTCGTGGTGCGGTGCGGATTGAGGGGACACCGTACGCGCGGGAAGAAGACAACCGTTCGTAGGGTGGTTTCCTATGCTCGGTACTGTCCTGGTAGTGGAAGGAACGAAACGGCAGAAGAAGAAGCGGAAGAAGGAGACGAAGAAACGCTGCCGGAAGAAAGAGAAAAGAAGGGATAGGTGAGAGGAGCTGAGGTGCCAGAGGGTGCCCGAGGAGAGGGTAGAAACGCGAAGGGGGTAAGACGCTGCATGAAGGGTTGGAAATGTAGATAGAATTTCTTCATTTCGCGTCCTTCGCGCCCCTCTCTTCAGCCCCGCGTCGACCACCGCGCGATCCCCTTCTTTCCTCCACCCACTCGTTGTC